CCTTATCCTAATTCCCAAAATGCTGGATTAAATTTGTTCTGTAAACGTGAAACGGATGTAGGAGGTTAGAAGGGACTTTGCGGGTTTTTGTCCCCAAAATTGCCTTTCGATAATTTTTAATGTGTTCGGGTGTATTGATATATACCTAACGATGGTTTCCGTCGTTATCAATAAGCTCAATGTATCCATCCATTTGGTTTTATATACTAAGTGACATATAAATCCCAACACCCAGTTTAAATGGTTTTATTTTAATGAAAGTTGGTGAATGTATTTATCTTACTGTAAATAACAAGTCAAAAAATTTTCAGCCTTATCAGTTGGACATTCCGGTTTTTATACTGCTTTTTTTTAATTCACTAACGCTCTAAAAATGAATACTTCAGCCGCAGTAAAGAATCAACGTTGGCGGATTTGGGTTCTTGACATCCTTTATGATCGGTTACGATGACTAGAGTACGGAGACCTGTACGATTTCGTCAACTTAGTGAGTTTGATAGGGGCCGTATAGTGGGACTTCGGGAAGCTGGACTTTCTTTTCGGGCAATTGCAGTTAGAGTGCAAAGAAGTGTAGACACTGTGGTTAGGTGTTGTCAGGCATGGCTTCGAGAAGGCCGTACGCAAAGAGCAAGGGGCACTGGACGCCGCCGTAGAACAACAGACCGTGAAGATCGCCGCCTAAGATTATTGGCCTTAAGGGACCGTTTCTCCACTACCAGGTCCATTGCAAATGAATGGTTTGCAGAACACGGAAGACCTATTGGCATGCGAAGTGTTTACCGACGAATGAGAAGTTTTGGCTTGTTTTCATACCGACCACACTGGGTCCTCCCTTTAACTCGAGAACACCGACGTAATCGCCTTGAGTGGTGCAGACAACGGTCACTCTGGGATCAGGAATGGAACAGTATTGTCTTTAGTGACGAGTCTCGATTTTGTTTAGGCATGCACGATGGTCGTGCCAGGGTTAGAAGGCGACGTGGTGAAAGGAGGAATCCACAGTTTTTTGTTGAAAGACATGTTCATCACACTGTTGGAGTTATGGTTTGGGGTGCTATAGCTTATGGTTCCAGGTCACCTTTAATCTTCATCAGAGGTAACATGAACGCGCAGCGTTATATCCACGAAGTTCTAGAACCCCATCTTTTACCCTATCTTGACACCCTGGCAGATCCAACTTTCCAACAAGATAATGCCCGACCACATGTTGCAAGAGTCACAATAGACTTCTTTCAACATAATGATGTCACATTGTTACCATGGCCACCAAGATCTCCCGACTTATCCCCAATTGAGCACGTGTGGGATATGATGGGTAGGAAATTGCTCAATTTGCCACGTCCTCCTCAGACTCTAGAAGCACTTCGAGAGGAGTTGGTGGTTGCCTGGAATGAGATACCACACGAGGACATTGACCACCTGATCAGAAGCATGCCTAGGCGCGTTGGAGAATGCGTAGCACATCAGGGTGCATCCACACATTATTAAAGGTCAAAGGGCTTTAAAGCAGTGCAATCATTTTGAAATTTGTATCATTTACTTATTATGCTTCATTAAGTACTTATACAAAATTTTATTAAAATAAAACCATTTAAACTGGGTCACTTAGTATATATGAAACAAGTTCTCTCTCTCTCATCAACGCGTTCGTTTTGAAACACCATTTGGCTGCAACCTCAACGACGAGTAAGTTGTTTGACAATTTAAATCCTTCCCGTATTGGTTGCTGGCATCATAATTGTGTTTTCAGCTCCTGAAGATGGCTCCATAAAGAAATGCGGAAAGCCGAAAGAGATTACCGTTAAATGAGTTTAGTAAAGCCTAAAATTTTGCCAATTTCACAATTAACAATTAATTGTATTTTTTATTGAATATATAATTTTAGGTGATGGAAATCCGTTTTATATTTTTGATTAAGCATGATACCTAAATATTGGTAGACCTTATTAAAATGTAATAGTTGACTCTAATCTAGAGTTTGACTCATCTAGAAGAACAAGATTGCTAAACAAAACATTGATTGTCTTCATCGATTTTCCAGCTATTTTTTAATTTGTATTGTGGATTTGGGTTACCGATTTCATAAAACATTATAAAAAATTCAATCAGTCATTTAATCTACTTTTGGCTTTTTTTATGGAATCATTGCTTGCTAAGATATCATAAAACTTGAGAGAAACACTAGCAAAAACCACCAATGTTAAATTTTTAAGCCTATTTTTGCTCCTCTCCAGACTGGTGTAGATTGCTGTTCTTGAGTATGAAGTACCAAGTCAATCGACTTGACTCTGTTTTTTTATCTCCATGATGCTACTGCCGATGAGCTGCCCTTTATAAAATGCGAGCTCACAGCACTTTTATGGATTCGTCCGGTAACACTACAAGTTACAAGATTACCTTCACACCTACACATCTGATGCTTATCAGGATAATAGAATAAATACAATTTGTTGATTGAATGTCATCTATTTCAGTGCAAACGCGTGTTTCAGGTTCAGGTTAATGCTCAGTCAACTAAAGATTTAAAAATAGTTCATTCAGTTTGACCTTTTGCAATATTTACTTATATCCTGAGATTGTTGATTTTCAATGTTCTGATGGGTCATTTATGAATCTCACAGTTATAATTTGGATCATACTCAGATCACATGTGCAAATCTTTGAGTCAGTATGTCAAATAGGTTACAAGTTATGCCTTCAGAAATAGACATATATACATTTATTGATCACATTTTAGTAAATGAATACATGTGACACGGCAAAGAAGGGAAAAATAATTGATACATAAGACATATTGAACATTGCATTTAAAAAAAAATAAACTCTTTAAAATTTGTAAGATAAAAACTCTTGTACAGTACAAAAGCAGCTCTAACATAGCAATTTCTTCACCTTTATGCTTAAACTCCTTACTTTTTGTGATATCCTTTAGCTATCTTAGTGAATTGTTGAATAAGTGGATGCAGTCGTAAAATACGGGTCTTCCATATATGGTGTTTTATGTCTGGGAAACGCGTAGTGCCTGCTATATAGTTGTGGTTAGATCCAACGAAAGACGAACCATCAGGGTTGCATTATACAAAAGTTACACATTTTAATAAGTAAATTGATGGAAGTGTAAGAATTCCGTGTTCTTTAAAAGTTTGCCTGCATGATTCATTATAGTTTAAACCAAAAATGAGCCAACTTCAATTTGTAAGAGAATTCTATTTTAAGTTTTGCGTATTATCCCCCTCCGCCTCCTAGGTGCCATCTCCTTCTAGTTTGGTAACTGTTATGGCATAATCTTCCATATTTTGCAGTGCGTGCCTTAAAGTGGCTGTCTGTGGTCCATTCTTGAACGTTGTGGAACCACGATTTCCCCGTTCTTCCTATTCCCTGCTCTCCCTATTTTTCTCCGGATGAAAATTTACAGGAGCTCATAGCTCAAAAATATTCTATTGCGCCTTCAGTGGCGTTCCTGCAAATATATGTTGTGATATCTTTTATGAAATAAATTGGTACCAACTGATGTTTCTCAGAGTGATTATTGGCAGTTTCCTCTTTGTGGTTTTAATAAATATCGGCACACCTGAGAAAGAAGTAGTAAGAGAGGGTTTTAATGTACAAATGATTAACTAATAAAATATTCGCTTTTGAAACTATCTATTGGGTACCAATTTTTATGAAAGCACTGAAATCAAAATGAAATACCTCCCACTAAATTATTTCATTTTGTATCTTCTCATAATATCCCAAAATTAAAATAGTATCTAAAGTACCTTACAAGATAACTATAAAATAAAAACAATTCCTCTTTTAAATTCAACATCCTGTTGCCGAACATTTGAGTCGTTGCGAACATATTCATATGAACTATTTTTTTATAAAATCATTTGAAGAATCATATCCTGGAGTATTAGCACATCATTAAGGAAGACCTTGTATCACCTTTACACTTTTTTTTCTGAAATTCTTCTAATAATATTTCTTTGCAAGCGGGTATGGTAAATTATAAAAAAGTGAAAATAGTATAGATCAAAAAGAAATGATAACACGTCTGTTTTTTTTTACAAAGTCCGTCCAAATAATAATATTTTTTGCTACAATCCGAGAAAACCCCATTATTAACCGCAATTCCTTATTGAGAAGTAGCATTTCTCCTTATACATAAATAGTGAAAACAAAAACACCTAGGTAAATAACAGTGTCATTCAATTAATTGAATTTTATTCTGTAATTTTGATTACTGAACCCTATATTCCGAAATATTTTAGAAGTCTAATAAGGAATTTTTAGTTATAGCGTCTCCTTCTTGAATACCTCAATAATCCACGTAATGTTTGAACACTGCTTTCAATTGTTACAGAAGATAATATTTCTATATCACTCCCGTTTGATGGACCAGTCCAAACGCTGTCTTTTGCTTTCAAATTTAAGATTGTCAGTTGGACACCAGCTAACTATATATTTTAAGGTATTCGTGAAATGAGTGGGAAACGTAAAGTACAATCGAATAATGCTATGTGATTGTAGTGGAAAAGATTCTATGCATACCTCGTTTGAGAAGGCCATTATTAATCTTGCACATTCGCGCTACATACCGCAGGTTTAAAAGTGCTTGCCCTATGATGACCCAGTTCTCAAACTAGGTATGTAATGTATTATTTTGATGAGCTTTATTTCATTAGTTTTTACAAAATGAGAAGAACATATATAATAAACAACACTGAAGATACTATAAAAAAGCGAGAAAATAACTTGAAAAAATGTAGGGTGGTCAGCGCGTTATAGTTGTATTTTATGTTACCGCTAAAGTGTTTTTTCATCCTCACTTATCATTTCCAAGAATTCATCATATCTGTCGTCTGCAATTGTATCATACATTTTTCGATTTCCTAAGCTCACTCAAAACAACCAGTCCATCAGACACATAAATTTAAATTAGAGACAAACCATCCTTCGCGGGTGTTAAAATTGACGCGACGTCGTGGCCTCGGAATAACCATGGATATATTTCCATGAGCCTCCCGGAAGCCGGAGCCCCCCCACCACTATCCGACTACCATGGCCGTACTGGTCCCCCGTACTATGGCGGCGTGGGGCCGTCTTCCGAGCACAGTCCGTACCATCAATGGACGCACGTCGTCCATCAGCACCATCGACACGGCACAGCTGTGGGGCCTGGGCAACAGTCCAACTATCCCCCTTACTACGACCCTGGAGGGCATGTGCAGGAGCCCAGGCGGTTCGCGGAGGCAGGTACGTGATCAGGAAAAAAATTGTGTTGCGCACAGAGGTCTAATCTTATTGCATCAAGGAACTAAAATATCTTTGGAATTGTCAGTATAGGTACTGATGAAATTCGTCATACGAAATGAAAATATTATACCAAATTCACAATAGCTCAAACTGAGCCAATGGTCACTACCGCCAAGATTTGAATGGTAGAACAGCAGGCAAGGCCTGGGGTGGTAAGCGACTGCCAAAAAATCAGATGAACGTTTGCTTCTTGATATTTGTAAGTATATACTAAGTAACATATAAAATGCAACATCCAGCATTATTTATTGAATTTTGATCAAAATTTTCAAGCATATCAGCAATCATGGAAGTATATATATATATATATATAACTTGAGACGTGGTCATTGTCGTCTAGACCAGTTAGGTGAAAAATTAAAGCTTCCGCCTTTTGTTGGGTACTTCGACAAAATTTAAGCAAAGAGGACTCTTTATACTTTTTTAATTTTCTCTGGCTTTCAATGGACTTTGCCATCATCATCAGGAGCTGCAATTACAATGATAACAGTAGCAACAAAAGTGTAAAATGAATTTAAATTGACTCAACTTACAGTAGTATGTGAGGATGTTGCTAATTGTTGTTTACGTATAGGATGAGGGAAACGTCCAGTAACATGGTGAGAGCTGGCAACGTTTGGCACACGCCCACAATTCGTTCCATCTTTCAACACAGACATTGACAACCTTCGGCCTTCTGTCAAAGGGTTCATCTCACTCATTATTCCATGACCACCATTTTGTGCAATCATCAAGTGGCTTCACGATGTAATGCTCTAATGTTTTTAAATAATTTTTAGTCTGTTTTTAACTTATTCTTGTCATATTTTATATAAATTTGACCATTGTACCATCTATCCAGCTCTCACCATGTTACTGGACGTTTCCCTCATCCTATACGTAAACAACAATTAGCGACATCCTCACATACTACTGTAAGTTGAGTCAATTTAAATTCATTTTACACTTTTGTTGCTACTGTTATCATTGTAATTGCAGCTCCTGATGATGATGGCAAAGTTTATTGTAAGCTAGAGAGAATTAAAAAAGTATAAAGAGTCCTCTTTGCTTAAATTCTGTCGAAGTACCCAACAAAAGGCGGAAGCTTTAATTTTTCACCTATATATATATATATAGAGAGAGAGAGAGAGAGAGAGAAAATTATCATGCGGAGAAAGGTATATAACAAAAATAGGAAAATAATAGGCAAAATCCGCAAAAAGTGGATTCGAGCAGAAAATAGGATAGGTAACCCGAGCGATACGTATTTCTGCTGGTTGGCTTCATCAGGCCCGAAATGAATGCAAATATGCAACTACAGAAGTAGATACACATTGTCGCCTTGAAAATTCGAGGTCTTCTAGCCATTTTATACTACAATGTGTAGGTTGGCTCTTGTTGTGGATTTCGTGTGTCTTTTTTTCCTCTCCATCTTCGTTTCCTCAGGTTACATCCGTATCCGGATGTGTGGGCATGTGTATCTACTTCTGTAGTTGCATATGTGCATTCATTTCGGGCCTGATGAAGCCAACCAGCAGAAATACGTATCGCTCGGGTTACCTATCCTATTTTCTGCTCGAATCCACTTATTGCTGATTTTACCCATAATTTTTCTATTTTTGTTATATATGTATATATATATGTTATATATGTTATTTTTGTTATATATGTATATATATATACCTAATCCAGTCAATTCCGCGTTGAGTTAACAAATGTGGAGCAAACAGAGGAGCTTCAATACATTATTAACATTCAGGTGAGATATCTCAGCTTTTTGCGAAATTTCGAATTAAAACTTAAATCGCTTTCAATTTGTCAGTAGATCTAAAACTTGTAAAAGCATGATCAAAATTACAGCATTTCTTGTCGGTGCATTTTCTATGTCACTTAGTATATATTTTTTGTCGAAAAGAGCTTGAAGTAAGCGAGAATTATTTCAGCATAGGTAAGCCTATAACTTCTCTCACGTGTTCGATGCACGTATTTCGGAATATCAGTATAAAAAGAATCTTGAAAGGTACTGAAGAACATAAAAACGAAGTTTGGTAACTGATTTTCGAAAATAAAGCAAAACTCTGATTTGCGATAATTTTCGTATACAATCTTTCTCTACTTAGTAGTCGTGAGTAAATGTGAATTTAAAAACTACCGACAGAGTTTTAAGTACTTGCAAAACGATGAAAAACAAAGGTCGGACTATACAGGATGTCCGCAAAGTTGGGACTTTATTTTACACGGCGTATAGATCTTGGAAAAAAAATTGGTTTTTCCTGGTAGCATATACATCAAAGCCTGAAGCTGGGTACTGACTGATGTTACGAGCTATAATGTAACCTGTTACACAGCGAGCATTCATGCAGTCAGTACGTAGTGAACACAGAACACATCAGCGTACATGCTCGATGCGATAAGATAACCAAGATATTAAGCTTCGCAAAATCAGTCAAACCTAAACCAAACTTAAACCGATCCTGTATCTCGATCACATCAAAAGTCAGAAGGCATGCTAGTACTCAACCCAGGCACCGGCAGAGTAGATAAGCAAAACATTTATTTACCAATCGGTTCGAGAAAAAAAATGGCTCACCCGTACAGGAATATCGAGAACTTGTCAACATGATTTTGATTTATGGCGAGCGTCTTCAGAGTGGCTAGACAAGCGCAAGTCTCTTAGCTGGCAAACATTGCGTGATGACGGATTGTACCCTTCTGTACAAGCCCTCTAAGCTGTGGATTTTCCTCCAAGAATGCATTTTTGTGAGTGGTTGTTGAAGTCCATATTAGTCACGGAGGAATCAACCATCACGCGTAACAGGGTGAATATTTTCCGCAATACTCATGTGAGGCCACTTGAAAATCCTCACGTCAGTCACATTTTCAACAAACATTCTCTCTGAATATCTGGGCTGGCCTGGTCCATGGACATTTTATTTTCCCGATTCAGGTGGACGGTTTACAATAACTATACTCTAACTATCTAAAACTGTAATGACTCATCGATGTTCACGTGAACATTACTTAACTACCAGTAGTCGGCTGTTCATAGGCGGGGTATGCATGTTTAACATGGGTGAACTAGATTTGTCACATGCTTAATAAAGAGTGGTTTGAAACATATTGTAAGTCAAAAATTTGGGAATTACCTTTATTCATCGTCGCTTCCACTTACATCTGACAGTAATAAACTGTCGCTATCGCTTTCCTCGTTAAAATTGACTATAACTGGCTCTATGATGGTGTCGATGTGGTGGTCAAGTTGACACATTTTTGTTTCTTCCTTCACAACATGACGGATAGCATTCTGCCAAGCTTCGGGCGTTACTAGCTGTATGGAAGTCTCAAGTAAAACCTTAACGTCTGGTAACTTGAAGGTTGTGTTATGGCGCGCAATATAACCCTTCACTTGAGCCCAGATGAGCTCTATTGGGTTCAGTTCACACTGGTAGGGCGGTAACCGCCGCACAGTGACACCACATTGACGGGCCATCTCATCAGTCACGTAACTAATGTTCGCAGGTTTGTGCTGTTTAATTTTTTCATACAATTCCGCTTTCACACGTGAATCGTCAAACGGGATTCCTTTTTCGCGCAACCATTGCTGCATGTCACTTTTTCGAGATCCCATAGTCGGTACACGTTCGGCTCGACGACTATGGTAGGAAGCATTATCCATGACTATCACAGAGTTGGGCTCAACTTGCTGAAGCACCCCTTGAAACCAGCTCTCGAAGCAGCTGGCATTCATTTCGTCATGGTAATCACCTCCTTTCTTAGAGACGAAAATCAAGTCACACTCTCCTAAAAAGCCACTACCGCTACCAATATGAGTTACGATCAATCTTTGACCTTTCCCTGACGGTCCACGAAGACCTGTTGACAAACCTTCAATGCTTGCTTGTCGGTTACTCACTACGTTTTTGTCTATCCAGGTTTTTTAACTGTGTGACCTGCATTTACCCATGTCTCGTCCACATAATAGATTTTTCTGCTTTGTCGCCTATATTCAATCATTTCGCGTAGGTATTTTCGACGCCAGGCGACTATTTCAGGTCTCTCTATCAATACTGACTTCCGATTACACGTTTCGTAACGAAAATTAATTTCGTGCAGGGATTTCCTCATTACCTCGACGCTCATTTGGGGTATAATTTCATGTTCCTTGATCGCTGCATGTACAGCCTTGAGGGTTGGTATCTCATTCCTAAAGAAGAATGAATGTACGGTTCGCCTTAACGCCATTTTGCTATCGTCATCCAATTTAACGGCCTTTCGTCCCTTCAAATTAAACTTTGGATCAGTAGTAGCTCCAGTTTTCTTCTTTTCATGCACCACCCTGCGAATGGTCCACTCTGGAACGCCTGTCATACTTTCACAACGCGCGAGTTCATCTCCCTGCGACATAGTTCTGTTCCGATAATTGAACACGTTGAGCACGATTTCTTTCGCGTCCCTCTTCAGTGCTTTACGAAGCCGTCTACCTGTTCCCTGGCTTTCAGTACTTCCACTCGTGCCATTTGTACTCTCCATGGTTAAGTATAACCAAAACAGTAACCACAGAAACCACAACAATAACAATCACACAACAATTCTTATAAAAACACACAATATGCGATCGCTCAACGAAACACGTTCCAATGCGTTGCCAACGCCTATGAGTCTGCCGGTCGAGGCGCGTCTTTGATTTCATTGGTTCTACCGGCGGAGAACAATCAGCCATTATTTCCATCTCTGTCTGTGCTGTTGACCACCGCAAAGCCACAGAAACGACATATGTCGTACGCTATACGGCTGTACTGGAAGGAAGCCGGGATCGAGCTCTGATCACGTGTTGAACACGCGTATGAGTCATTACAGTTTTAAATAGTTGTAGTATAGACTGTCTACAACACATTTTACCAACATCGACAGTTTCGAACAGTATAAGTGACAGAGCCGTATTTGAAATTTCTCTGCAAATGAACGGTGATTACTTTTTCATTTATTTTTTTTACTTTTTCGCTACTGTTACATCACCCGTTTGTTATTTGTGGTTTTCTGAAAAGAAAAATCACAATTTTTTGCACAACCTGTATACATGTATTTATTAAGGCTTACTGTAGCAATGTTTTGGCGAACGTTGAAAAATTATAAAAAATAACCAGTGCTATCTTTTCGAAAAATTAGAATTTATTTCCCCTGTATCCCCGTCAGAAAGAGGTAATTTATAAATAGATTTAATAGACAAAACCTGTAGGAAAACTCATTCCGTTGAATTTTTATTCACTGGTTTGCATATTTTTAGCAGTATAATTTCACAAATATTCTAAAAATATTTTAAATTAAAATAAAACATCCAGTTTTGACCAATTTCAGTGTAATTACGGCACCTCCTTAATAAGACCTCAGTGAAAACTGTACGACCATATTGAGCTGTAAATTGGATTTTTAAGAGAAAATGTTTAAAAAAATGCTGCATCAAAATTTCGAGATATTTTTATTTGGAGTTTATTTTGCTTGTTTGTCGTGTCAAAGTTCATGTCTATCACGAAATTAGAAACGAATGTTCCGTTGCTTTGTACTTTGCACAATTTTTTTGAAATAACTCAATCCTAAGTGAGAATGTATGGGAAGTACCTAGTCACATCATACAACATAGAATAGAATTCCACCACAGCCTAGTGAAATGGATCACAATAAAAAATATGCTCTTATTTGTAACTAGATAATCCACTTTCGAGGCATCTCCCTCAAGACCATAAATCTATGAACAATAACCACTAAAAGATTGAGTTTAGTCATTCAGTATCCTCCCCCGAGACATAAACATATTTTCCTGACAAAAAAATGGCTGCTTGTCCGTGAGCGCTTTTCTAGAGAATGCTTTAAGCGAATATTGAATTACAAACGATACACCTTAGGGACCGAGACTATCTGGAATCTATTAGGCTGATTAAATTATTTTTGTAAACGTATATTAGATGATCACCACCATGAGGAAGTGCTCGTCGTATTTGAATTATGTATTTGTTTTTCATTTCTGAGGAGCAGTATTTTATGTTTGAGTACATTTACAGGTTGGCCTTCAAAACAGGTAGGTAGACAGACAGCCAGTTGCTCTTTGTCTATTTGACAACAAAATGGAAAAAGAGTTATAACTACAGAAAGGCTTGAGGCTACCAGTACTGGCACGTACAGTCATTCTTACACTTGAGATCTCTTTATTTCGTGACAGTCTTGAGAGGTATTACACAATCCCTGATCCGATCTAAAAATGTTTTTCGATTATCCCAAATTTCAGTTTGCTAACGTGACTTGTTCAGAAATTGAGTATGAGAGGCGCGACTTATTGAAGAGCATTGCATGTATATCACTACTTCGATATTTAAGATGTTTACCCAAACCTATTAAGTCAACGACCCTGATGTTCCATACTGTTTCGCACCGAGTATGCATTCAGCCCTAAGGACCATCAAAGAAACAGAGACCAGCCATAGGATGGACTTTTATCAAGTTTCTGAGTTATTTCAAAAACAACAGCAACAGTTAACATGCCATTGATTAACTTATGCCACCATAAGATACCCAAATCAATCGAAAGATGATAGCAACTATATACCTGTCGACCACCGTCTTTAGGTGTCAGCACTGCTATCCCTCGTATTATTACCGCAAGCTATGGTATTTCCTTTACCCTTGTTGATAAAGTTTTGATATCTTATTTTCTTGGAAGGTTAACAACTTGCCTAAGAATAAACAATTTTTTTAAAGGAGAATGGAGTCGTTACATCTAATAGAAGCTTTGCGATCCTGCTCATTAGCGTAACAGTAACGATATTGATGAAAACCGATTTTACTCACTACTTCACTGGGCGATATTATGTTTTTGGATATTATACAGGGTGGCCCATAAGTCCTTCGATCTGGAAAAAAAGGAATAAAACCAAACTAGTTACATTATGAAGAATTATTATATTTTGTTATCATCTTTATTGAATGGGAATTATGTTTTAAAAATGACATCGTCTAAATGCAATCCATTACGATCACGGCACTCATATAAACGACGTCTAAAATTGTCGATGACTGCGCGGCAAGTCAACACTGTAATGCTTGCCATTTCTCTTCGGATATTTTCTTTCAGGACATCAACTGATCGCGGAGTGGTGTCGTACACTTTACTCTTGAGGTAGCCCCATAAAAAGAAGTCCATTGGGGTCAAATCTGGACTACGTGGTGGCCAGGAAATGTCTCCTCTTCGAGAAATTACTTTGCTGGGAAAAAGTTGACAGACGACGGGCATAGAAGTGTTGGAGGTGTGGGCAGTTGCTCCGTCCTGTTGAAACCAGGTCTGCGTATTATAGCCTGGAAAATTCTGCAACGCTGGTGTCAAAAACTCTTCTATCATTGCTACATACCGCTCCGAAGTAACAGTTAATGCGCGACCTCTGTCGTCCTCAAAAAAATAAGGGCCTACGATGCCATGCGCTGACATAGCAGCCCAAACTGTAACTTTAGGGCTGTGTAAGGGCTTCTGATGCTTACGCCTTGGATTTTCGGGGCTCCAATAACGACAATTTTGTTTATTTACATGCCCGTTTAAATGGAGGTGAGCCTCGTCCGATTACAACACATTATTGAGCGAAGAAAATCGATTCAACATTTCATTCGCAAAGTTTAGTCTCTGAATAGCGTCATTATCTTTTAATTCCTGCACTAACTGAATTTTGTAAGCGTGCAGACGTAAATCTTTCCTTAAAATCCGCTGTAAAGATGTTCTGGGTACGTTTAGTGCACTGGAACGCTTACGAGTAGACTGGGTAGGATTTTGACGAACAGACTGTGCCACAATGTTGAAGTTTTCTTCAATACGAGTCGTCCTTGGTCGACCCCACCGCTGTTTATCTAACGTCGAACCAGTCTCTTCGAACTTAGCAACCCAGTTCTTAATCGTTTGAGCTGTTGGACACTTTGTAAAATTGTGTAAATTGTGGTATTCTCGATATTTACGCCGCGCAATGGTTGCCGAATCATTATTTTGATAAAACGCGCGCACACAAAAAGCACGATCCGCTCCAGTGAAACACTCCATGGCGACTGAATTCCCAGACACTGAAAGATACTGCCCCCACCTCGCCCGCGCCGCTCACGCTCACCCGTTAAATTTTATTCAAATTTGAAATTTCAAAAGACTTATGGACCACCCTGTATAACATGTACATCACGAAAGACCATGTCACTCATTTTCGTCGGTCTCTCTGTCTGTCCGCTAATCCTCGGCCCGTATATAACTTGGAAACTACCACCGGAATTTGGATGAAAATTTCACACAACGAAAAAACTTTGTAGTTTTTTGAAATCGGTCAGGTGGTGGCAGAGAAAAATGCATAAAACAAAAAAAGTTCAAAATTTGTATTTTCATGACGCTTCAGATACTGCTGATAATGTTCTGAAATGTTTTTGTAGGGGTTAAAAATTGGGGATTATGGGTTGCAGGGGTGGGATTGGGTATTTCTGAGATTGTTGATATTGGTCCATTTATACGCCCCCAACCTCAATAATTCTACACACCTAGACGTACCTGTATTTCACTAATTCTAATGTCCCCGTTCATTTACCCTTAAGTATAACGGTCGCGTGTTAATACGTGCGACGTGGTCGCTTCCGTGCTGATGTGGGCTGTATGCCGTAAAAGTCAATATGTTCATTCATGCGGGATCAGTCATAGCAACGATCATGTGCGCCGGCAGGAATTTCTCTGAGGGGGAGGAGGAAGGGAATATAATTTGTTGTTATACATGTTCGTAGCTAACTTTTTTTCAGAAGGGATAACTTGTACCGAATGTAATCCTTTACACCAGAGTTCCCCAAACTTTTTTGTGTCGTAGACGCCTTGCCATGTTTTTCCGTGTTGGGTAGACCCCCTACTTACCTGATATTGATTTCCTTTAAATTTCTAACTGTAGTGAAGTTTATTGTTAAAACCTTAAAGTAAAAACTCATGTTAATTTATACATTTATTAATTGAATTTAAATTAAAACTACTCAAAATAAAATTTTGTAGGTATCTGTTATGTAAAATATACGTAACATTAAATAAACAGGTGTCTGACCAATAAGTGGCCGCATTGGGAATAAGTGCCCGCATTGAAAAAAAAAATAAGAGGGATAAAATAAAAAAAAGTGAAAAATAATAAAAAAAAAGTTTTTTACTTAAAATAGTACAATAAGTGAGTTCGTTTATTAATTATAACATAAACGTATGTTCTACAATAATTTCACTGTTAGTTTGATTAAATTCCGCTTCTTATACGTTTGAGTTATCTAAAAATAGGCAAAAAATTAACGAATTTTAGTATGTACCTATCGTTGAATTTTCAGAATAATTTAAAAAAAAATATTTTCTATAAAGGGGGGTTGTTTAAAAAAATCACTGCGGGCACTTATTCCCAATGCGGGCATTTATTGGTCAGACACCAATAAACATAAAATAAACTATAAATAAAATAACATAAGCAATAAGTCAATATTTTTAGTGAGAAGGATGAACCTGAAGCTTTAATAATAAATTATCAACATTTGGCGTCAATTTTGTAAGGGTTAATCTTAAATCTCCTCGGCTAATGATGTCCAGTCTGTTTCTTTTTTTCGTTAGGAGATTGGTAACAGCGCTGAACCCCCTTTCCACTAGGTATGACGATGGAAAGGAAATTAAAAATTTCCTCGCTATATTCCATAATACGGGATAAGTAACGGGTATGTTGTTTTGCAGCCAGAATTGCTGATATCCGTTTTTAAACTGAACCTAAAGTTCTTCGTTTGTACTTAGTTCAGCCAGTTCCTCTTGTATTATGACATTCGTTTCTGATATGTCACCATATGGATTAATTATCCACGGTGGTATTACCATAGTCAAAATATCCTCAAACCTAGATTCAAAATCTGAATAGAGGGCATTTAAATGTTGAACGTAAGTTGAAACGTCGTCTTCCTGGCAGCTTGTCTGTGACAAATTGGGGAACTGAGAAAATTCGCCCCGTCCAATATTTTGCTTCATTAGTTTAACTCTGGCAAGAAACGCTGATAAGATGGACTTTGTTTTAATCAAATTTAAACTGTCGCCTTGTAATCGCAAATTAACCATATTAAATTTTGTAAACAAATCTGTTAAATAGGTGATGTCTGTTTTCCTCTTCATTAAATTTTCTTTTAAAATTTTATCTTTAGTATCCAGAAATTCTAAAATATTCTCAAAAAGTGCTAAAAATCTTGTCAAACATAAGCCTTTCGACAGCCAGCGTACTTCAGTGTGAAGGAGTAATTGATGAAAGTGTTCGTAATTTTCTTCACACAACTGCGCAAATAACCGCATATTCAACGCGTTGCTTCGGACTAAATGAAGTGATTCATGCAATGTAACACTCAAATTTTTAGCAACTAAATGTTGTCGATGGATGACGCAATGTATTGCTAACACCCCTGACACATTTTGTTTTAAATAGCTTATAAATCCACGATATCGTCCAACCATGGCAGGTGCTCCATCTGTAGCTACTGATATTATATTTGATAAAGGAATTGCTTTTTCAATGAAGTAATTCTTCAAAACATGAAATATTGATTCACCTTTAGTGTCGGTTATCAAAGTTATTGGGAAGAGCAGTTCTTCGTAGATTTCTTGATTCGTAATAAAACGAACATATGCCAATAATAATGCTGCATTATATTGCGCCTCGCCTTCATAAATAAGTATACGTGTAGTAGCTCTGCTTGCAGTCAAATCTCACACAGTTCAAAGCAAATTTTCTCACCCTGGATACAGTCCTGTCCCTTCGCCACTCCGTCGAACCCTCATACCTGTTCAAAGCATTGTTGCAACATATTGGGGGGGTAGAGTAAAGGGCGGGAGCTTATTTATTTCGGCGAGGCTCATATAATTAGGATTAAACTTCACTTAGGTAAGTTCGTTTAATCTCTCAATTATCAGGTAAAGTTGACTCGTCCAGTTGTATAGAGAAATGGGTCGTTTGCAAATAATTACATAAGAAGCTTTCAATATCGGAACTCATTTCATCAATACGTCTTTCAACAGTA